AGCAGGAAGAGATAAAACACAGTGCGATACCAGTTCTAGTCCTACTCTGGCCGCCATTTTCTGTAATAAGGTTACTTAATCTCTGCTTTGTTTCTCCAGTAGCAAAACTCTTTAGAGCAGTCCTCATGGAAAAAAGTATGAATTGAGTGCACGGTCAGTGAAAACTATTCTGCTCCCTAGCTAGAGGGCATCTAGAGGGGTATTAGTGTGGAATCCACATATGTCTTGTTTTTTCTCAGCTTTGAATGACTGTCATCGTATCTCTTTCTCAACACAGCAAACACTGCATGACCTTTTGAAAAATGCTCCCCTTGCCTATGCTGCTGAAATTAAAGAGCTAAACCAGCAACACGAATCCCTGTTTTCCAAGTGGATGCTGCAATTACAGTAAGTATCCAATGAGAATCACTGAAGCAGCCTAGTAGCAGGCTTACTCTCATGTCAACAACATCCTGTGGATGAGTTAAGGAATTACTTTTTCTTTGATTGGTTAAATTTAAAATTAGGTGACATTAATTTAGTACACTTGTTTCCTGTAGAACAAATCATATCTGACTAACTCCTGGAACTGAGTGCCTGAAGTGAAAGGAGGTTGCATTCTGCCTGGCTAGTTTGTCTGTGCCTCTGTAAACTAAGCTAGAGGGCGTTCACAATCAAGGAATGTGAATAATGAGAAAACAGAGAGCATGAATTATGAGAAAAGCGTCCTTTGCGAACAATCAGTTTTGCTTACAGCAGCGTGGTTGGTAGTGAGTAGCCCACCACCAATTTCTTCAGTATGTGGCTATCCCCAGTGGTGTAGCAGTTAACTTTGAATGCCTATGGTACCTGATGATCTAGGCATGAAGAAACCTTAATGCTACTGGAAACATCAGCACTATAAATTTTATCTGGGTTTGTGTGTATCTTCATGGGAAGGAGAAAAGACTAAGCATCCAGGAAAGCAAATGGGGAACTACAGAAAGCTGTGAGATTCTGAAGCAGCTTAGAGAAGGCAGGCCACCAGCTCTGAAGTGCAGAGGCAGGAGCAGATGTTGCTGAGGAGAAAGCCCCATGGAAGCTTTGCAAGGGAGTGAAGCATAAAGAAATTTCTGGTCCTTGGGGAGTGACAGAGCATATGAAAAAGACATTAGCTTTGAAAGGTGAAGAGTTGCAAGAGGAGGAGTTCTCTGTGACTCAGTGATCTGAGCAAATGGTTAGAGATGTATGTGGCAGGGTACAAGGAAGAAATCCCTAAATGGTACTGAAGTCAATGACAGTTGTTGAACGCCTTACCTTTGCCCAATACTATTTGAGTGACTTGATACTCTTCTTTCTGGTCAAGATGATGCTTTTCCTGTTTCTCAAAAATAAACAAAGCTTTGTGATTCTCCACCATGTTCTGTTTGTGCTTTCCTGACTCTTTCTGTGTGGAACAATTAGGATAAGAAAGAGATATGAGAATAGTTTAATTTTGCTTTGAAATTGTGCCTGTGGATCAAAGTAGAAAACCACTATGAAGGCTTGCTTTTTTTCTTGAAATTGCTGTGACGCATGGCAAACACTTAATATAATCACTGGTGAGGGAGTGTATGTGAATGCTGGTTACTCTTCGTTATCTGAAGCTGCAAATCTGGTCTCATATTCTTGGACAATACCATTTTCTTCCATAGATGTTTTGCTAAGTATGTGGGCTTCCAGGCTGCTAAAATGCTTCTTTTGCTAGGATGCACATACATTTCAGATTCCTTGCAGCTAACCTTATTTGTCAGCTATGAGCTGAAGGTAAGCCTGGTGTTGATGAAACATGAAAGTTTTAGAGGCAAGATTGCAATGGATCATTTTGCTTAGTGAACGTATGAACCTAAAAAGGGACTTGTACTTTTTTGATTCAGTGTATTTGCTCACTTCTCTGCAGCTTGGGTTTCAGTATCGTGCTTTATGGACTGGGCTCAAAGCGTGATTTGTTAGAGAAGTTTCGTACCTCTGTGCTCCAGGATTCTGTTCACCTTGTGGTTAATGGCTACTTCCCCAGCATCACTGTGAGATCTGTAAGTGTGGGAAAAGCTTATGGGTTTATCTAATAATCTTGTGTTACAGATATCTCTAAAGTCTTTCAGTGTAAAATGTTAAAGAAACGGGTTGCATCCTGTAGCAGGAGACTCTTGAATGATGGCAGTTCTTTGAATAGTTTAAAGAAACTAGCCCATGTGTTTTCCAAGGAATTGCAATAATTCCCATCATTAATAGCTACTCATTAGTCTAAAGCCTTATTTTATATCACCGTTTTGAAAAGGGGTAGAAATTTTTGGTGTTGACTTGTTTGGAGATTTTATGGTAAAAAATCTGATTACCTCTCTACCTTCAGATTTTCTGCACTAGGTACTTCAGTGCCAGAGCCCTTCAGAAGGGACTGCTATTTTCTTTTTCAGATTCTCAACTCCATCACAGAGGAGGTACTGGACCATATAGGGACCTTCCGCAGCCCCCTTGACCAACTTGAATTCATCATTAAAATGTTTAAAGAAGGTAAAATTACTAACTTTATACTTAAAAAGTTAGAGTCCACTTACTATTAGGAGAGCCTGGACGTTTTCTTTCCTCACAGTTTTCATATGTGCAGTTAAAGTTTCTTAGTTTATTGTAGTTAGTATATTTTCTTGCTTGTAATTTATGCCACGTGTATGAAAACACAGGCACCAGGAATATATGTGTGCATGATCCCAAGCTGTTACCTCAGTCAGCGTTTCACACAATAAGTTCTCTAGAATGGGAAGGAGGAAGGCACAAGTGTTTTAACAAGACAGAGGCTCCTCAACCCTTTGGCAAACTGAAATGCTCATCTCTTACATTTAGCACAGTGCCTTTGTGCTTTATTTACACGATGTTTCTGTAGCCACGTGTTTCCTGGTGGAAGACAGGATAGGTAAACTAGCTATATGAGGGAAGATAGTTCTTAGTGACTGCTTGAGGACCTGATACAAACCTCACTGAAATCAACAGAATGAAGAACTCGCAAACAATTTGGAATGACAGTTGCTGACAGATATAAAGTCCTCTGAGCAAATCTGGGAAATCATGGCCCTGAGGGTCTTCCCATAAATTTCAGTATAGGCTGGATTAAGGCTTAAATGTACATGGTTTAGTGGAATGGTCATTTAAATTTGATATATGCAAATACTGACATTAAGATGAAATAAAGAACAGTGGTGTCAAACAAGCAGTTTAGAACTGGGTTCAAAAGCAAAATTAAACAGGTGTAGCCACATGGAATACTTGCTGAATTCTTTTTGAAAGTCTGTTTTACTGCTTATGTATACATACACAAATTGCCCTGGAATCTTAATTGTGCGTGGCATTGGTGTTAAAATGTTTACATTGTATTTTCCATCACTACCTTATGAGTATTTCTCATAGGACTAAGAGAAAAAGACAGATGAACGGTGGTACCTACCTGAATCTACTTAAATCAGTCTTTTGTAGTACACTATAGCTGATCTGACTGGGGGTCTGAGGAACCTTTGGTTTCCATTGGCTGCCAAGTATGTATGCATTTGCACAAAAACTGGCTGCTGTTCCAGAATTGTTTCTGGACTTAGGTAATAGCTGTTCCCAGGGATAAGTACAGCAGCAACAAGCTAGCTGGAAATTTTATCATCTACCATTTGTATTATCCAAGCTAAGTCTTTGTAACTTCCTTTGAGGACTCAGTGGGAATGATTTCCAATGAAGTTAGTGTGCTTTGGATCCAACCCTGAATTTTTATTGTGTGAGGAGGAGCTTAACGATCCTAGTCATGTAACTCAAAAGCAGCTGAACCAACTGTGGTTAGACTTCCATCCTAACATACATTTAAATGACCTTGAATCACAGGACTAAAAATCACAGCTAAAACGGAAATTCATGATAAAGCTGTGAGCAAGTGGAAAGTGGATTATAAGAGAAAAGCTTAAACTGCAGAAAAAACTGTAGCTGTGATGAGAACAGGGATACACTGAATTGAGAAAAAGTTTTTAGGTGCTCAGAAATACCAAGTGTGGGCTAGAGATCAAAGTAAACTGTACAAAGAAAGTGATGTGATATTGGAGTGATGGAGCCTGATGGAATAGACTTGTCCTAGGCTGCTCGGGAATGGGAAGCCACTTTGTGTGCAGTTTCTTTGATTGGTTCTCTGCTGTTTTTTCTGACCTTGCAGATTCATCTTTAAAGCTCTATGTCCTCATTCATAACCTGGACAGCCAGATGCTGAGAGGAGAAAGAAGTCAGCAGATCCTTGCACAGTTATCCTCTCTGCCTAGCATTTACCTCATTGCCTCTATCGATCACATCAATGCTCCTCTCAGTGAGTCTGATGTAGCCAAGGGAGAAGAATCTATGTTCTACTTTGGGGCTGTTGATCATGTTTCATAAGCTCATATATTACTGTTGATGTGCAAAATAGCTCTGGTGGTGTATGTATGGTGGTAGCAGTTAGAAGCCCTGATAGGGACTGTGGCTGTGTTGAACCAAAACCATATAAAGAACTAGCACTCACTGATCATAATATGTAAAACAAACTCCAAGATTCTGGAACCCTTTGATTTAGGGACTTACTGAAATGGAGATTGGATGTTATGTCTGTCATTGTATCTAAACAATATGGTTTATCAGCCAGAAATTCTTTGCGCACTGCTGACTCTGGAAGGATTTGCAGTATATCTATGAAGCTGGTATGAAAAAGGGATGTGTGCGCAAATGTTTTGTTGCAGAGAATTTGTCTTGCTTGAACTGCGAGTATCTGGGCATATGTACTGTGAATTTCACAAGCTACCATTTTTCCTCAAATCCTACAGTAGAACTAAGTATATCTTAATATTGCTTGTTTAACACCTTAGAAAAGCTAAATCTCCCAATTCTGTCTGCTCCTTTTTTCTCTCTTCTGATCTAGTGTGGGATCAGGCAAAGCTAAGCCTCTACAACTGGCTTTGGTATGAAACAACCACATTTAGTCCTTACGTGGAAGAAACGTCTTACGAGAACTCGCTTTTAGTACAACAGTCTGGATCTCTGGCTTTGAGCTCCCTGACGCATGTTCTGCACAGTCTCACTCCCAATGCCAGGTAAGACACTGTTACGCTTTGTAGTAGCACTTGCTGAGGATCCAGTCCTTACTTGGTTACTCTGGTCTAAATCTAGCAGGAGGCAATCCCTGTTTTCTGACAACAGTGTTCAAGCTGAAGATGGTAGGACCTAGGTTTCAGTTGATAGGTAACTTTAAATGAACAGCATTTGGATAGCAAGCTTTGTCCACTAACAAGATTCATGCACAAAGCCCTAGTCATGAGGGAAAAATCAGTTAATATTTTCTAGTGGTGTGAGGGTTTGCGGGGTTTGGGTTTGTGGGTTTTTTTTTTCTTTTGATTTTCTCCTCTCCCCCTTTCACTTAGGGGGATATTCAGACTGCTTGCTCAGTACCAGCTGGAGAACAAGGACAACCCATCTTATCCAGGTATGTACCCACCTTTTCTCACCTGTTTGGGGTGTTGCCATTCCCAGCGTAGTCACAGTGATCTGGCTTTTGGTATGCAGGTTACATCACCAGCAATAGAAGGGCTGTAACTGTTGGCTCAGTGAGACTCGGTTGCGTAGACTGTCTTTCTAGTGGTACTGTGTCTGACAGGAAATGAATAGACTGGCTGGTTCTGAAGGACCTCCTCTTACAGTTGTCTGCTTTGATGTTTAGACATGAATGAGACCATTCATGGGGGACTGTGGAATTAAAAAATTAAAATAAGGGAAGAATATGAATTTGCATAACTAGCACTTGAAGCACCAGGGAAAGATAGGCGATTCTGTTCCTATGCTGCTCCTATCTAAGTGACTTCTGATGTGTCCCTGCTTTCTAGGATATGTGTGGAATATTCTGTCACTGTCCCTAACAGGTGCTGCAGGGGATATGAATAACATGTTAATGGTAAAGAAACTTCGAAGTAAGATAGGAGTTGGAAATTAAGAGAGATTAATCATGTTGGGAAGTGCATTTAAAGTGCTATAAAAATTCCATTAGGTCAACAGGGTGACTGGAACGTTAATTCAGCTGCTTTCCATTAATTACTGAAATATTAGCTGGCTGTATACTTGAAAGAAGTGATGATGTTACTGTAGCCACTCTGGTCTAAGCCAAAGCAAGATTTGTAGGTGGAGATAATATGTGTTGTTAAACCTGGAAAAATCTGACAATCATAACACTTCAACTTCTTGTTCTCACCTTTTTCTGTCTCCAGGGCTGTCTTTCCAAGACTTCTACCAGCAGTGTCGGGAGGCTTTCCTTGTGAACAGTGACCTGACGCTCAGGGCACAGCTGACAGAATTCAGGGACCACAAGCTCATTCGGACCAAGCGGGTGAGTTGGGGGAAGAAGATAATTCTGGGTATTCAGTCACCTTAAACAAAAATGATGCTTACTTGCTACTAAGTAACTGCTCTGCAGCTCACAGTGTGGCTATATTGTTTGAAGCACCTAGGAACTAGCAAAGGGCTGAAATTCTGTAATTGCAGCTCTTTCTGTACCTCCAACTTGTCAACACTTTTTACATGGATAGGAGGGCTGTAAAAACGCAGTGTGCTTTGGTTACTCAGCAACCTACAGGTCTCTTCTTCCTGAAGACCTTGATAAGTAATGGGCTCTGGAGCCTGCCAGTCTGCTTTCAATAGTTCCCTGTATTTGCAAGAGGGAAGAATGCAAGCTAGGCAGTATAGCATTCCTAGATACGGGAACACAGTGTTGAGGAGCTGTGTAGTGTCAGACTAGCATAGCCCACCAGAAGATTTCTCATATACTGACTTTTCTGAGGATTTGTGCATTTCCAGTGTTGCTCTAGTGAAATATTCCTGGTTTTTAGCAACGTATGCCTTCTGAATGCTGCCCAGCTCTCACCCAGACTGCAAATAAACGTTAGCATTGCAGTGCTATCTAGTGGCTTGCATTGCACTGTGCATTGGTTTTAATAGAATGTGTATGCATGTCTGTTCTCAGGGAGCTGACGGTGTGGAATACTTATTAATTCCTGTAGATGACAGTACCTTGACTGACTTCTTAGAGAAGGAGGATGAAGATGTATAACGTCTCTCTGTTCTCAAAGTGTCTACGGCAATAGCTCTCAAGGGCTGCTGGGGAGGGGCCTATACACAGATCTCTCTCCCTCCAACCCCAAGGCTTGCTGGACTACTTACTGAAATGTAATAATTGTAATGAATGATGCTCGTTGTTCAACTGCTTCAGGTAGTTTGGAATGATGATTTCTGTAAGCAAGCTATCTCTTGCTCTGTAGTTAAATTTGTCTGCTTTGTCTTGTAGCTCAGATGATACTTTCTTCGTACCTATGCAGCCAACCTTACAGCCAGAAAAACAAACTCTGTAAGACTGTGCCTTCTGCTCTCTACCTCACCAGACACAAGGGCTTGATTGGCGCAGTTTACTTGTGGAGTGAAAATCACGAGATAGTTAGAGCTTTAGTTTGTATTTGTGGTGCAACTTTTCTCAGCTGAGTGCTTTCCAGTACTGCTTTACCAGTTAAGAGAAGACTAGCTTCCAGTGTATGAAGAAGCCAAGATTTATAATGCTAAGAGACCTGCTTTGACTGTATGAGGACAGGAGAATGCTAGTGCACTTAGGACACTGTGGGTGACTTATTAAATTCTGGCAGTAGAACTGAAGGACTTGCCCCAAACCCAAATCCTTTTATAAGAAGGCTTAGATAACCAAAACTGTAATGGACTCAAGTCATGGCCTTGTTGGTGAGGGTGAGTGGATCCAGCTTCTTTCATCTACTTTCCAAATTGCAGTCCAGAAATGTGAAGGGTTTTTTGTTTATTTTTTAAAAGCTTGATTGTATATATGTGTTTTTTACATCAGGAGTGTCCACTGATCTTGGAGGAGGCCTTAAATGCCACTTACAAGCTCTCCCTTTTTTTAAGCCCTTAGACGTTGGGAGACTGCTGAAGTTTGACAGCTTTTCTTCACTTTTTTTCTCAGGTATGTAGGAGTAAGCCCTATAGTTCCATCGACTGTAGTCTGCCAACCAGAATCTAGGGACTCTATGTCTAATATTTGGTGGCTATTTTACAGCTCAATGTTGTAATAGTTCAAATCAATCAAATAAAGTACTTTATTAATTTTCATTAGCTTGTCTTGTCTTCCGCAATCTTTTTATGTTATAGGAAGATAGAGATCCTTCTGGCAGTTGTGTGAAAGCCTCATTTTCGTTACTATGTCAAACATCTGTGCAAATCCTCATGCACTGTGCAGAAGATCTCAAACCAATTACTAAAAATATTTTATATTGTTTCTTATAAGGTGTCAGAATTAAAAATACTTTGCCTGCCTTTTAATACTAGTATATAGCTTCTGAAGAGAACTAAAACATCACATGGAATAGTATTATTACCTGGTCTACCCCCCACTGACAGAAGAAACAGACAGATGTTTACAGCCTGACTTTTGTTTGCATTGAAAACACAGGTTATCTGCTTACCCCACTGACAATTTGATTCTTCAAATATAGGACCTGATTAGCTTTGCTGGAGAGGTTGATGCGGAAAACTGGTGCATGCCACCAGTATTCCCCAGTTTCCTTCCCCAGAACATTCTCCAACTAACATTCTCTTTTGGTGGCACTTGTATCTGCATTTTACAGGCTGCAATTCCAAAACTGGAAAATCCATCAGGTCCTGCCTATTACTACTTAGGCTACCATCAGAATCACTAAAACTGGTGATGCCGTGAAAAGCCAGAATTGAAG